CACACACACACACACACAGAGAACTTGTTCAGGACCGAGGTCTCAGAGAACTTTGTGTTCCAGCAGCCCTGCCTCCACAGAGGCCACATCTGAACCAGGTTCAGGGGGATGCTGCGGATCTCCTGGTCCCGCAGTCACAGTGTGTGTGTGTGTGTGTGTGTGTGTGTGTGTTTGTGTCTGTCAGCTCTATCTTTAAAACATGGCGTCTGGTGAGGAGAAGCAGCGGACACAGGTCCAGTGTTGCAGCCTGGAGGAGCAGCAGCTCCTCAGCAGACAATAGACAGGAAATCTGAGGGAGGAGGAGGGGAGGAGGTGCTGCTGTGTCCCCCACCACCCCCACCCCACCACCCCTCCTCCTCTGAGTCTACAGGCTCGTCAAGCAGAGAAATAAACAGAGTCGAGCTGTGAGGAGAGAGGACGGTCCTCCTCCTCCTCCTCCTCCTCCCTCTCTCCCTATCTCTCTCTCTCTCTCTCTCCCTCTCCCTCACTCTCGCGCGCTATCAGTCCATCCTCCTCCAGCCCGGTCCTTCATGGAGCGGAATTATCCCGCAGCAGGATTCGGAGACCTCGGGGCTGGGACGGGATGGACCTACGACAGACCGGCCAAGGCCAGGTAAGCAGCGTGACGGTGATGGAGGAGGAGGTTCGGAACAATGCCGAGGCTCCGAGCCTTCAGCCGCGGCTGCACGAGCCGCTCCACCGGGCTCAGGTAGAGCCGAGGGGGAGGGGGGGCTGGCTCCAACTTAAAGCATGGATCTGACGGAGGGTTAATGAGAGTTCGGAGGGGGGATGGGTCGCTGAGAACCGAACCTGACATCGGTGCATTGTTTACGCTGCACCTTTTGTCTGGCGGTTCGTTTTGTTTGGACCTCACCGSTCCGTGACAGCTCCCAGCACCAGAACCGAACCAGTGCGGTGTGGCGCACGAGTCTGCAGAAATCCGTCCCCAGGTGCGTGGAGGCGCGTGAGGGTGCGTGGAGGTGCGTGCCAGTGAAGTCGCGCAGCTGCAGCGTAGAGCGGAGCGCGCGGAGCCCCTATTAGTAAACAATACTGTTACAGTAAGGTCACGTGACCGGCTGTCACTAATTAAACCCGGGCTAATTGAAGTTCAGACACCGTGCTAAACATCAGCCTAGCTTTCAGCTGGGTGCTCTGACACAGCAGGTTAGCATGCAGGCTAACAGCCGACTTTAGCTCAGAAAATGTCTCCTCAGCTGGTACATGCCAGCGCGGCCTCGGCTCAATGCTAATGTTAGCTTAGCGGTCGCCATGGCAACCACATCAGTCAGCCTCCAGTGATGGAAGGACCGGAAGAGCGCATACCTTCACACCTGCAGCACCGGAAACATGACGGGACCTGATCAAAAGAAAAGACAGTGAAATTAAAAACTAACAAATCACCTGCAGACAGAAGAGAGCTGTGGCTGGTCATGTTTTTAAAAAAATACCTGTCAGTTAGCATAACATCTCATTAAACTCTAGACTTTACACATTTATCTCTGAATGTACAAATAACTCACTTTTAGAGTCAGCCCCATTCAAGATGGCCAACACAGCTATTAGCCAATCAGTGGTGGATCTAGGAAATTTTCTATTGGGGCGGGGGGCACAAAGGGGGGCAAAAGCTGGATCACTTCACTTAAGTACTGTACATAAGAAATGTCCTATATTGAAWTAAAAATTAAAATTCAGCCAGTTTTACACTGAGTTAAAATGTAGTGTGGTAGTAGCTGAGAGTCAGCCCTGAAACATGCTTTGAGTGACAACTGATCACTTAAGACTTTTACTGAAAACTTTGCCATGTTGAGGTGGATCCTGCCTCTGTGTTAGCAAAATATATTTTATCTGACAAGATGCAATGACCGTAATCACCCAGTCAGAGTGTAAGTACTTTTATAAAAACATACATCTCAAACTAAATAACAGTAAATCCACAGAAAATGCAATAATTTTAGAAGCAGTAAAAAAAATCTTGGGATTTAACAGATTAACATTTAGAGTCACTGTGTGAGATGTACAGGCAGAGCTGACATGAACCAACACAAAACTGACTCAAACTCATTGTGAYTGACGTGGAGCTAAAGTTCAGTTTGTTTCTAAATAAAGTCTGAATCTTCCAGTTTGAGCAGCGTGAATAAAGCATTAACAGAACTAATAAATGCTCAGAGTGATGTTTGACAGAGGAACTGAATGCTCTGGTTTTCACCTGCCTCTCAGGCTGAGCCCAGAAACTCATTTCAGCTGCTTGTATCCAGGATCAGGTTCTTTTAGTCTTGATCCAAACCTCAGGACCACAGCTGAGGGCTGGAACGCAGACAGACATTAACCCATTTAAACCCAAATTTTTCCCTGAAAAATAACTGCATGGAATTCATTCTTTAGACCTCCTTAAGACATAATATTTATGAATTTTTTCATTTTATGTTGATTGTGTTAGTGAAAATGTAGGTTTTGTATTCGGCAACTATTGTTGCCGGTGGGAAACAGCATAGTCTAAACTGACACAATAACATGCATAACATGTTTTAACAAGCCATGGGTACAAGTTTAACAGTAGGAATGACTGTGATGTAGCACAGTGTTTTTCAAAGTGGGGGCCACGGCCCCTGGGGGTGTCGCAGGGAGCATTATAGGGTCCTCTGAAAGCTGATCAGTGGGAAAAAAGGTGAAAACCTAAAATTTTATATCTAATGAATATTTAAAATTATTGTCATGAAATTAATTTGTTTTTCAATCATGATTTGAAAATATAATTTATAAAAATATATTGAAATGTTATTTAGGASAGCAGTTTGATTCCTTTTGTTCTGTTTTTATTGTCAACA